AAGCTTGCCATGTGCACTTTTTAAATTTGATCAATCAATTGGTTAGTGTAATGTTTACTATCTTTACTCACTCCAAACACTCCACACAGTTACTCTGCCCACTCCATAAAGTTACTCTGCCCAGTCCAACCTTTTCACAGTTACTCCATCCACTCCAACCACACAACAGTTACTCCGCCCACTCCAGTTGTAGACTACTGGTGGAGGCAAGAACATTTCACAAAATTTCCCCTGAAATTGTAGCTTTTCTACTTATAGAGTACAGTACAGGACACAGGACTAATATTTATAGACCATGGGTTATATGGTACTACTTTCAGGTGAGTGGACACTGACAAAACCTTTGCTAGGGCCACCCTTAGAGCATACCCATGTAACATTGGGCAGCACAGTGGCTAAATGGTTAGCACTTCCGACTGGCAGTACTAGGGTCGTCGGTTCAAATACCCAGCCACGGCACCACCTGCCTGGAGTTTGCATGTTCTCCCTGTGCCTGCGTGGGTTTCCTCTGGGTACTCCGGTTTCCTCCCACACGCCAAAGACATGCTGGTCGGTTAATTGGCTCCTGTCTAAATTGTCCCTAGTATGTGTATGTATGAATGTGAGTTAGGGACCTTAGATTGTACGCCCCTTGAGGGTTAGGGACTGATGTGAATGTACAATATATATATGTGTAAAGCGCTGCGTAAATGGACGGCGCTATATAAGTACCTGAAATAAACACTGCCTACATACTTCAGTATGAGGCTCCAGTTTTAAAGCGATAATGATGGGCAAAACTCTTATGGCAGCCCAAGACCATGTGATTTTTAACCCAATTCTGAACAAGACGAACTATTTTTTACTCATAATGGTGTAGTGATGGTGATTTACAAAAAGGTATGAATAAAATGTTAAGCTCACTTTATTCTCTCATTTGTATTATGCTGTTTTTTGTTTTTTTTTGCTTAAAGCTGAGCTCCTGTCATATCTAAAACTAACAAGTGGAAGCAGCTCTACAGTTAATACATAATTAAACTAGGAATTTTGACTTACCTGCAATATCCTTATCATAGAGTACAGGACACAGGACTATTATTCATAGACCATGGGTTATATGGTGCTACATTCAGGTGAGTGGACACTGATGAAACCTTTGCTAGGGCCACCCTTAGAGTGTACCCATGTAACGCTGCCTACGTACTCCAGTATGAGGCTCCAGTTTTAAAGCAATAAGGAATGATCAAGACAGAGGGGAGGGGCCTGTGTACCGTACTGTACTCCAAGATGAGAAATTTACTAGTAAGTTGAAAGTCTTATCTTAATTGTATAGTACTGGAGACAGGGCTGTCATTCCAAGGAACATAGCCCAAACACTGAAACTGAGGGGCAGGCAACATAGCAAAGAAAACTTCCAAAAGGCCAACAAGAAAACCCAAGGGTTTAAAGAACCAGAACAAAACACTTTGATAGCAGCCTAAAGCACCTTGTAGCCAAGGCTTGTATCATCTGAAGCCTGAACATCGACCTGGTAGAACTTGGTAAATGTATGAACAGAAGGCTGTGGCCTTGCAATCTGTGATACAGATGTGTTATGCTTAAAAGTCCATCAGAATCCAACAGCCCTGGTGGAATGGGCACTGATGAGAAAGGGATGAACTTTTCCTTAAGGACATAGGACCTGGAATTCCTGTCAATAACACTTGGCAATGGTGGAGCAGGAAGCAGGGTGTCCTCTATGAGGACCTCCAGGTAGAACAAAAAGGGACTCCATCTTTCAAAAAGGAGGCCGTGGCTGCCAAGTAGACTCTGACATCTAACCAAATCCAGACAATATATGGCATTTTCTTTGTCATTTTTTGGGGCAGGACAGAGGGAAGGGAGGATGGGGTCCTCATTGAGGTGGACAGCAAAGACAACCTTAGGTAAAAAGGAAGGTTTAGGTCTCACAACCACCTTATCTTTGTGCAAAACAAAACAAGGCTTTTTACAAGATAGAGCTGCTAACTCTAAAACATGCCAAACAGACGTGATGGAGTGAAGGTGAGATCTTCAAATGGAATATCTGTAAATGTATTAAAGTAGGAACTCTGAAATGCAGAGAGCATTGCGTTGAGATTCCAAGGTGATACATGAGATAAAATAGGGGGAAGGATATGAGCTACTGCCAATGGAAAAGTTCTCATAAGGGATTGTGAGGCAAGGGGTGTCAGGGATCTCCACGATCCCCGCAGCGATGGTCCCGGCGCAGGCGCAGTGCGCCGCCCTGTGCAGGGACTCGGGCACTAGGTCCGGGCCGGCCGCGGCGTTTGAGTTCGCGCATGCGCAGTAGAAGCCGCGGCCGCCCGCTGGGCACCAATGGCAGCGCAGGGCAGGGATATTTAAATGGCCCTGAGCTGTCATTCAGTGCCTTCTGGTCTTACCTGCATCCTGTGAACCTGCGAACCTGTACCTAGTAAGTTATTCGACCCGGATTGTTCTTGACCTACTGATTTCTCCTGCCCATTCCGTTGCTTTGCCTGACCTCTCTTCTGAATGCCCCTCATTAGATCTGACCTGCTGTTGCTGACCTGGCGTGTGACCCGACGATTCTCTGCCCGCTCCCTTGTACCATACCGTCCTCTACGTTACTGACTCGGCCTGTCTGACTTCACACTTGCTCAGCCATCCATCCATCCCGTCGGGGTCACCCGACCTCCTCATATCAGGCTCTCCCCTGTTGGAGCCCCTGACGAACACCCCTACCACTGACGGGTGTGCTCAGTAGTTGCGACCTGGTCTCGGGGTACTCCAAGTCCATCCCCACCATCAGGGGCTCTGGTGAACAAGTACCCTGAGTGCTAGTGGTGCCGCTAGGCGGTCCCTCACAAGGGGTTTATGGAAAAGAATAGAAAGGGCAGAAACCTGTCCCTTGAGGGTACTCAGGGCGAGACGTTGGTCAAATCGAGACTGAAGAAAAGCCAAGATACAATTGATAGAGTATCCTCTAGTATTAAGCCTCCTGTCCTCACACCAAGCAAAGAAAGCCTTCACATGCAATGGTAAATCTTGCGTAGTTTGGATTTGGTTGCTCTGAGTAAGGTGGAAATAAACAAATCAGAGATACCTGTATCCTTTCGGGTTTGGGTTTCAACAGCCATGCTATTAAAGCCAGTGACTGAGAAGCATAATAGAGCAGGGGACTTCTTGCCAGTGTACCACTTTCTCCTAGGTCAAATTGTTGTGATGAGAACCACCGGGACCCTTTCCTCGTCTATCTTGCATAGCAGTTGAGGTAGGGTCTCCATTGGAGGGAAGACATAAACCAATTAAAATGGAGACCAAGGATTTACCAGAACATCTACTATGAAGGTTAGAGAATCCTAGAAAGTGGTATTGGCCATGAATTTGTCCAGCTTGTTGTTGAACCTGGAGCCAGGATGTCCACATCTGGTTTCCCCAGCTTTGACAGACATTTTAAAAGATCTCTGGGTGCAGTGAATATTCTCCTGAGTCTAGGAGTTATCAGCTTAGAAAATCTGCTTGCCAAATTGTCCACTCCTGGAATATGGACACCTAAACAGCTGGAATGTAAGTTTCTGCCCACGAGAGTATTAGACTTGTTTCCTTCAGTACGGCTATGCTTCTGGTGTCCCATTGACTATTTAATTAGACCAGTGCTGTGGCATTATTTGACTTTATCCTGACTGACTGACTTACTTTGTAGAGGGAGATCCCATATTGTGGAGACAGACAATCACTCTCTGTTCCAGAATGTTGATGGGCACCAGTCTTTATTTTCATTAAAGTGGGAGCCCTTTGCCACAGTTCTCTAGAAACACTATCTCTACACCCTGACAGGGTCTGGACAGTCAAGCTCCACCCCTACAGAGTTTTAAAACTACAAGGTGTTAGGTGAGGATGCTGCCATGTTCTTGTCAGGGTCCGGATCTGAACTTGCAAGCTCTGTGGTGTCTGGCTGTAGCCCTCTGTGTTGTGTCACTTGACATGCTGGACAGCTCCCTGTCTGATCTCTTAGGACACTCTTGCCTTGTCTTGTTTCTCATGAACCTTGAACTCTTTGCTCCTCCCATAAACTTCCTGATTTAAGCTATATCTCTGCATATCCTGTTTGCCAGATTATTGTGTTCTCTCCAGCCGATATCTTGCTCTTTTGCATACCTGCAGCTGTTCTCATCTTCACTACCACTTATTACCAACCTTTGGCTTGTTTACTGACTATGCTTCTGCTTGATCCCAACCTGCTCTATCTGCTACTGGACCGCAGCTTGTTCATCTCCTGGTAGGGCGATCCCGAGGACCACAACCTGGTACTAACACACAGAAAAAATCCATCTTCACCATTTGGAGCTCTGTGAATACTAGTTAGCCCCCACAATTTGGGAGAGCCTGCATCATCCTGTAGGGTGACCTGCTTGTGTGCTTATCCAGCTGGTCATTGGGAGCCTCTCTATTGCTATAGCTACTGGTCTCTGAGCCTGACCCCTGACTGTGACAGTTGCTCCTTTTAGCGACATTCACCATCCAGGAATGCCATATTTCCTTGAGTAACAGACGTTTCCAGGTAGCACTGACACGCCACGTTTAAAACTGCAAAAAATAATCGGCTGACCTTATTAACACTCAGCCACTACATGGCATATCTGCAAGGAATTATTGGAGTACATTGGTCACATTAAAGCTACCGCATTTCTCCTCCCGACTTAGAGTTTTAGGCATGGAGAGTGCTTCTTGGACTGTATAACTAATTAAATGATTAAAAAAGATATTTAAAACAGTTTAGAGGCACTCTTCTTGGTAGAATGGACAGGTATGCATCAAACTGAATAATTTTGGGTATGCCCAGAGTTTAGATTTAATAACAGCAAGCAGACATTAAAAAAAAAAAAAAAAAAAAAGAAAAGAAAAAACAACTAAACTCCTCTCACCAGAAAATGGTCACCTGTAACCAAATCCACAAAGCAATCATGCAGCACTGCTCATACAAGCCTTTTTTTTTTAATACTCCAATATTGTGTCAGTTAATTTGCAGCAACCAAAATTTGGTAAGTAAATACCTCAAACCAACACAGAGATCCACTCAGTTTTCTGATATTCCATGAAGACTCAACCTGCAATGGATGAAAACAGAAAACACACTAGTAATTAGGAAATCTAAGCCATTAAAGTGATAGTAAAATCTTCTTTTTTATTTATGCTTACCTGTAGGTACAGTAAATATCTCCAAGATGTGCACTGTTTAGGAATGACTTATTTTAGCAGCAGCCGGTTACGTTACTGGCGCATGACCAGTCTCAGTGGATGGCATGCCGTCCATGAATCCCTGGTTCACACTGCTGAGACTTCAGGTGCGACATGCGATTTACAAATCACACCTGAATTTGCATCTAATGTATTTCTATGGCACTTAATAGATGCGATTTCAAGCAGTATGACTTAAAAAATAGTTCCTGCATTTTTTTTTCACCACTTTAGTGTGATTTAACTCTCACAGACTCTAAAATAAATGGTAATGAAATCGCACCAGTGTCTATATCAGTGATAATTTGAAGTCGCACTTTAAATGGGACAAAATCGCACCACTTTAAAATTGCATTCAATGTGAACCAGGGCTAAGAGACCTGTGCAACGGCTGTGACATCCTTGCGGCTTGGCCATTCAAACGTCCAGGGCCCGCGAACCAGGGAGGAAATAAAATGGCAGACAAAAAATGTGCACTTCTTTTTTTAATGAACCTGCAGAACACTGCACCGTCAATCGTGGGGGGGGGGGGTATTGGGGGGCAGGCCTGGAGCATGTTACACCCTAAATATTGGTGTAATGTGTAACATGTTACAAAAGGTGAACTTAACTAAAGGCTGAAGGTTTTTTACCTTTATGCATTCATAAAAGTTACAACCCTTTTGTGTGCAGATCCACACCAAGCATGCCCAATACTTAACTGAACCCGATCTCGATCCAGCAATGTGCAGGAGAGCAGCAGCTCCTGGCTTTCTCCCTCTTCATTGGCTCAGACACAGCAGCGGGAGCTATTGGCTCCCTCTGTTGTCAATCACAGCCAAAGAGGAGGTAGTTGGGGGTGGGGCTTGAGCCTCATTCTGTGATCAGGAGCGAGCATGCATGACTGCAATTGGGGCACTTGGCTGGGAAGGAGGCAAAAAGAGGAGGATCAGTGTTGCGCTGTGTAAAACCATTGCATGGAACAGGTAAGTAAAACGTGTTTTTGTTATTTTTTTTTTTTTTTTTACGTTTCTCTGTAGTATCACTTTAAATGACTCTATAATCTTAAGGGAAAAAGTTTGTTAAAATAAACGGTCTGGTAATAGGGTCTCTTTAAATGTTTTTTTTTTTTTAACCATTTCAATACCGGGCAATTTTACCCCTTCCTGCCCAGGCCATTTTTCACGTTTCAGCGCTCTCACACTTTGAATGACAATTGCGCGATCATACAACATTGTACCCAAACTAAAATTTTATCATTTTCTTCACACAACTAGAGCTTTCTTTTGGTGGTATTTAATCACCGCTGGGGTTTTTATTTTTTGCTAAATTAACAAAAAAAGACCGAAAAGTTTGAAAAAAAACACGTTTTTTTTTTGTTTCTGTTATAAAAGTTTGTAAATAAATAATTGTTCTTCATAAATTTAGGCCGAGATGTATTCTGCTACATGTCTTTGGTGAAAATAACCCAAATTAGGATGTATTTTTTAGTTTGTAGGAAAGTTATAGAGTTCACAAACTATGGTAAAGATCTGAAAATTGATCAATCCTGAAGTACTGACAGCCAATCTAATTTCTTGAGTTCCAAGAATGTCAGAACAGTACAGATATCCCCCAAATGACTCCCTTTTTGCAAAGTAGACAGTCCGACGTATTTTATAAGAGGCATGGCGCGTTTTTTTTGAAGTTGCATTTTTTTTGTCATAATTTTTCAGAAAATTAAAAAATTAAAAAAATTATTTTCACTATTTTTTTTTTACATACTGTCACCAGTGCAGTACAGCGTCATCATATAACTGGCATGGCGGTGAACAGGGACACTGACTGGTGACAGTATGAAAAAAAAAAATATATATATTTTTTTTATGATTTTTAATTTTTTATTACATTTTTTGTATTTTTTTTTAAGATTTTTTTTTTTATAATTTTACTATGACCAAAGTAGTACAATGTTACCATAGTAACATTGTACTACTGTGGGGAAGTGATCAGTCTTTTTTTTTTTTTTTTTTACACAATTTGTTTATAGCAAAGAATTACTTTGCTATAAGCAAGCATTTATCAGAATGAAATCGATTCATTCAGGTTTTTTTTTTTTGTGCTTAGCTGTGATTTGGCCACAGCTAATCACATGACATGTGCATGTGACCTGCTGTGACCATTCACAGCTAGGCACTAGTATACAATGGATGGCATGAATGAAGCCATCCATTGTATACAACTGTCATGTGACCTGCTATGATTGGGTCACAGCAGGTCACATGGTACCGGCAACGGGGGCCGGTACTCAGATCTGTCATTGGCCGTGTCCGAGGTACACGGCTGGTGACAGATTGCGCCGCTGAGCGGCTCTGCAACCGCGCAAACTGCGCATGTGCGGGAGCACGCCAAATGGCGTGCACCCGGAAAGGTGAAGCATTTTTGCCGCCACCAAACGGCTATAGGCCGGGCGGCTAATGGTTGATAGGTTAGAATTCATGTCTTAATATCTTATATCTTTTAACTCTTCCACATCTGGTGTGTATATTTGGCACATTACCATCGGTAAAGATTTATTTTACTGGATAAGGCCTTTAAACGGGTTTGCCATTCTGCTTGAGCACCAAAAGCCCCATCCTGAAACTTCTCCATCCTGAGAAAACTCTTCTAGTTCACAAAGCTCTTCTGAGCCAGCAAGACTGGCGGCCAGCTTCTCACTATCGGGTTAATCTACTGCGAAGCGCTTCTAACAGCAGAGTAGAAGCTGATCCTTTCAGAGAGAGAAAAACTCATTTTTCACCTGTCAGATTATTGCTCATTCCCCGTCTGCACGCCTCGCCTGTCAGAGAGGCCGGCTGCTCCCCATAATACAGGACTATTACAGCGGAATCCTCCAGACAGAACGCAGAGAGGGAAAAAAAAATCCACTTACATTTCTCTCTCCTTCAGTGACACGGGTTTCATAGCAGTATGCCAGCAGCACATCGATCAGACCTAGGTACGCCAGCTGCTCCGCTCGCTTATCCAGCAGATAGGACTTGTTGGTGAATTTTCTCAGCTGCTCCTTCTCCTTCTCTGTAAACGTAACTGTGCAGGGTGGAAAGGGCAAAAAAATTAAAATTTTGGCCATGGAAAATTTGACTCCATACATTCAATAAGGTGCCCATTTATAGACTAATCAAACGCACAATACTAAGCTATCCCAAAAGAAAATAAATATCGCACTCAATCAGGTTGGACGAGACTTTGATCTGAAATATGCAGTTCTCATCCTCTACATTGGCCATATATAGACCCTCCTTTTCTAGAGCAGCCATATATACTGTCAGCACCCTCATAGAAGTGAATTGTACAGGTCAATCACCCTGCCACCATGGGTCCCATTAACAGTTCCATCCATCCAAAGCTGAGAAGGGGTGCAAAAATAAGCCGTGGAAGAGGGTGCAGAGGTGAGCTGTGGGACAGGGGTTAGCAATGGCCAGGGGTGCAGAGGTAAACTGTAAAAGGAGGGAAGTGTGCGAGAGGGGGTGGGATGGGGCATTGTTGAAGAGCTGAGATGGCACAGGTAGAGAGTGAAATGGTGAGTTGCAGACAGGACTTTATGGAGTTAAATTATTACTAAAGGCTTGTGTTATACTTAACAGGTCTGTGCAGTGGATTTGCACGGATCCCCCGTCGGTGCTTCTGGCCCCTCCCCCTACTGAGTGCCCCCAACAGCAAGCCTCTTTCTAGGGGGGCACTCAAGTAGGCTTGCTCCCGATCCGCTCTCCTGCAAGTGGACATTTTCCATTCACACACACAGACTGCGGTTTCTGCTTGGCCCTGTCCTCTCCTCCTTGGTTCACTGCCTGATTGACAGCAGCATGAACTAATGAGGAACCAGAGACCCAGGAGAGCAGCTGCTCTTATACACATGGCTGGATCGAGAAGGGGCTCACATGCATAGAATTCATAAAAATAAAAAGAAAGCTTCTGCCTCCTTAAACCACTTTAAGAACACATTCCGGAATAGATTTATTGTTAAACCAGTTGAGTGTCACTCTAATATAAATCTGTTACCCAGGTTTACATCAAGACAGCAGTTTTGTGCTCTCGAAATCAATGGCACCCATAAACTGGCAGAGCAACTCCCCAAAATGTTGAGAGGAAAGCAACGTATCAATTTTTTATTGTATTACACAGAGGCAACACAATTCTACAAGGTATTACAGAATACATCCACAAAGACACGTACATCAGTTTGTGTCCCCAGGGAAGCTTATAACCTGCCTGCAGCCTGTTTATCGCAGAGTTCTCTTTTGGTCACATCACCCTGTTTGATTTTGCTCTGGTTTATTACATTTCAAAATGGAAAGTTGCAGCACCAAAGTAAGGTGTAGAACTGTGTTTTGGTTAGATTACAAAATTTTGTTTTATAGCATTTTTTTGATACTAGAATCATTTTTTTTCTGTATTTTTTACAGGTCTTGAAATAGAGCTGACAAATTACTCAGCACTTTACATATAATTGTACATTTACATTACTCCCGGCCCCTAAGAAGCTCTACAATCACACGCATACATGCACATACCACATATGCCAATTTAGACAGGATCTAATTTCCTGACCAGCATGTCTTTGAAGTGTGGAAGGAAACCCATGCAAGCACATGGAAACGCAGGTAGTGTTGTAGTTGGGATTTGAACAGACAAACTTAGTGTGACAAGGCTGGAGGGCTAACCACTAAGCCACTGTGCTGCTCATAGGAGTCCAGCAGTACATGAGCCTTTCCTGTTTTTGTAGACCGAAAACCTAGAGTGTCCAATCTTTGCGGGGGGGGGGGGGGGGGGATGACATTGCTCCTGTAGACTATAAAGCCGTGTGTAAGACCTTGGTCACAAGGGGCATACTACAGTGTTCACCCTTGCGAGGTCCATGTTTACCGACATGGGGATGTGCAGGCGTTCCATGCATCCCCATGCAGGCAGTTTCCATTTCTCTCAATGGGGACGCAGCAGCAGCGACACAAACATGGATGTGAAATTGGGAGCAGCGTCTACATTTGTGCACACACTGCATGCCAATTGACTTCAATGGGACTGCCGGCACAAGGATACATGAAAAACCTGTGCATACCCATACAGGTAAATATGACCCTCACAAGGGCGTATGCAAAAGCATGCCCTGTGTGAACGAGGCTTGAGTCATTTAATATCCTATTTCAACATAAAAATACAGCACCTGCTAATGGTAAATATTGATTATTCACATTAAATAATTTCATTTTATGAAAAACAACAAAAAAAATTCTTTTCTGAAAAAAAAATGAAGAAAATATATGCAAATTGACTATAAATTCACATCTATGTCAACTATCCTGTGTGACTTCATCTCAGCTTGCTGACACTCACTGCAACTTCATTAACAGAAGTCAATGCAATGAAGTCACACAAAAATTGTGCCGGAGCCTTTTTCTGAGTCGCACCCATTACAGATTTATCGCCTGTGATGGGGTGCGACTTGTCATGCGACTTTGAACTTTTAAGTAGCATGACAAATCGCACTGGTGTGAACCAGGGCTGAATACATTGGTGACATTATTCGCAAAATAGTGTTCACTGCATTATTCTTAAAGTGACACAAATTTCTAGTTGAAAAAACAAACAATTCTATTAAAGTATGTATTCTTAACTAATTTTTTATTGCTCTCATTATTTATTTATTTCAGGTACTTATATAGCGCCGTCAATTTACGCAGCGCTTTACACACAGTATATATTGTACATTCACATCAGTCCCTAACCCTCAAGGGGCGTACAATCTAAAGTCCCTAACTCACATTCGACATATACATACTAGGGACAATTTAGACAGGAGCCAATTAACCTACCAGCATGTCTTTGGAGTGTGGGAGGAAACCGGAGTACCCGGAGAAAACCCACGCAGTCACAGTGAGAACATGCAAACTCCAGGCAGGTGGTGCCGTGGCCTGCGATTCGAACCAACGACCCTAGTACTGCCAGGCGGAAGTGCTAACCATTTAGCCACTGTGCTGCCCTCCATTCTCCTCCAAATCTCCAAGTTCAATATTTTTTTTTTTGCTGCCAAGATCTGACTTCCTGTTAGAGGGTGGCTACGTTAGTTTTCCATGGTCCTACTGTACGTAGGAATGTGGCCACCCTCTTTTGCTCACTCCTGAGGTAGACTATGGGATTTGTAGTATTTATAGAGAGCACTGAACATGACCACAACTAATGAAAAGGGAAAATTAGAGGTTTGAGAGGCTAATATGACAGCACGGGATGCCAGCCAAGGCAGCTACCCAGGGTGCAGTGTAGGCAGAGGGCATAATAGCCTATACCAAGGAAAATGAATTTGCCACTTGGCTAAAAAGGGGCAGAGCTATGTTTAATGGTAGGTGGTGATATGAAAAAACAAGCACAATACTACACACAAATACCTAGTTACCCCCCCCCCCCCAGGAGACAAGATGGGTACTGAACACTGAAAATCCAACAGTCTTCACTTCCCTCTGCTACCACTAGGTGTCAGACACATGGAAATCTAAAATTAAACACAACATATGCAGGCTAATGGTTTCTGGATTACTAAAGGGTACCTGTTACTTAGTAGAAAGGATAAGGTATGAAGGTATACAATTTTTGGGAGTGGTTGCCATATTTGGCTATTCCAATGATAACATTAGTGTACATTGTAAGTATTAAAGCATTCATTTCTCCCTTTGATGCTGATCCCTTCTGCTCCTCCAACACATCACTGCAAAAAAAACAACCAACTAAACAATCTAGCCTCCAAGAGCAGCAATGCATACAAAAAAGGATGGGGATTAAGTGCATTCAAAGGGTGAGTAATATTACTTTTCCAAAATACACTAAGACCCTCCGACAATAACATAAAAAAACAGGTATGCTTTTAACAAAAAAAAAAAATTACTCCACCTGCCTACTACAAATACATTTTCTAATCCATTACCTTACATATACCAATTCTTGTGTGCAATGAAATGACAGGTGCACTCTTGAACCAGGTTGCATTCGGGAAATTGTTGGGTTTTTTTTTCACATGCTAAAATCCACATATTTTTGTAGAAAATTACTCAGTACCCCCAAAACAGCGTGTGTGTGTAAATATATATATATATATATATATATATATATATATATATATATATATATATATATTTATTTATTTATTTTTTTTTTTTTTTTACTGAAATCCGAGGCCCTGGAGAATAAAACCTCACATGCATGGCACAATCACTGTTTATATTCATGTGCAGAACTTATGCATGCATTTGTGTGTATATGGGGGGTGCTTTTTTTTTTGTTTGTTTTTTTTTATTTAATTTGTTTACACTTTATTTTTTCTTTCATTTAACTTTATTGCTATTACATGGAGTCTAACAGGCCCTCTATGTGATAACACAGCAAGATGACAGGACCTCTTTATGGAGACATCAGGGGTCTATTAGACCCCAATGTCTCCCCCGCCCTCCAACACAGCTAAGCAAGTACAGATCATGCTTGATAAACTGCTTTCCTGGCTACAGTAGCTGAGGAATGACAGCTCTGAACTCGGAAGTATTGACATCCTCGTTGCTTTCGAGTTCATTTGTTCCTGGTCCTCAATCTCCCCTGGATATAACTATTAGGGAGATTTGCAATGGACCCGGGCTCCCCAGAGGAATGGGTGGGGGTTCAGTCCTTCGTACTACCATAAAAACAATAATCCGCCAATTGGCTGGGGAAAAAAAAACAATCAGCAAGTTTGTTTCAAAGGATATGTTCACCTTTAAAAATAAATAAAAAATTAAATAAAAATAATAATAATGCACACGTTTGTATTTACTTTTTTTTATATATTTTTTTTTTTAATGTAGGATCCTGTAAAGCATTTCAGCTGCGATCAGCAATGCAGTGCTCCTGCAGACTGTCAGTACCTTGTATGTGCAGGCAGTTACTGCATGACAGGAGGAATCAATGGACTACAGGGATGCTCACCAGTGCCCTCACAGTCCAATGGGAACTACAAGCTGTCAAGCGCAAAGGCTGTCGATACTTCATTCATTCATCCACAGAATTTTGTG